TGTGTGTGTGTGTGTGTGTGTGTGTGTATGTGTGTGTGAATGTGTGTCATATATGTGACTAAGGCATTTCATCATGAGATGAAATATTAGGTCTGTTACCTCTAGCTGGGCCGGAGACTATTCATTTTGATGTTGAAGACTTACACGTTCTTTCTATTATAAATTACCAACTCACTATGGCACACATTCATGATTAATTATTACTGGTTCACCCGGCGAGCGGTTATTTACCCATCCCTGGCCGAGGTATTAAAGCACGGACACTGATTTTAAAAAAAGGAGGAGGGTGGACTTAACCCTATCCGTACGCCCTGGGGTCATTTTGTACCCCAGGGTTGTATTCTTCACATTTTCGAATACTTCTAGGTCTAGTACGAAGATTTCTTTGAAACTTTAACTTTAAGTATAAAAAAAAAACCCATTACGGGTGGAATTAACGATTAACGAGTAAATTTCCTCTTTGGAAAGTGGTGGCACAGAGTTCCTCGTGCCGTGTGGATACGATAGTAAAACACGACGTACGGATAGGGTTAAGTGGTGGCACAGAGTTCCCCACGTCGTATGGATACGATAGTAAAACACGACGTACGGATAGGGTTAAAGAAAGACTGTCTCACCTTTCACGCCTCTGATGTGCTCCACTGACAAATCCATGGTTGTTTTTTCTCCCTCGTCCTGTGGCACTGTAGAAACGTCTCAGAAACTTCACCAGTCTAGCATTGCTCTGGGGCTGACAGATCTAACTCTGGCACCCGCCAGTCTAGCAACATCCACTGTAGTCGACTGTCATCTACCTTTGTCTAGCAAATTCCACAACAGTTTCCACATCTACACGTGCCTCGGAAACTACACCAATCTAGCAACATCCACTGTTGTCGACTGTCATCTATCTTTGTCTAGCAAACATGACTACAAATTCACATCTGTCTAAAAAAAATTCTATGACAGTTATCACGTTTATCTCAGTCTAGCAATATTCACCACAGATGGCATTAGAGATGACAGATCTACCTCTCTAACTACACTGATTTAGCAACATCCACTGGATCTGACGTATACTATGTCTGTTAGTTCGCCAGTCTAGAAACATACACCAGACTTGACTCATTCACATATCTGTGCAGCAACAGCAACACTCACTGGAGATGTCGGATCTACCTCCTTGACTGTACCAACGCTGGCCTAGCAATGCATTCACTACAGCTGACAGATGTGTCTGTTAAGTTCTCCAGTCTAGAAGAATACACCACACTTGACGCATCTATATATAATCTGTGTAGTATGTAGCAACGATCACTGGACATGAGAGGTCTACCTCTGTGACTGTAACAACCCTGGTCCAGCAATATTATATTCACTACAGCTGACGACAGATTTGTCTGTTAAGTTCTCCAGTCTAGCAATATATTCACTACAGTTGAGGGGTCTGTTTGTTAAGTTCTCCAGTCTTGAAATATTCACTACAACTACACTGCAGCGGACAGATTTGTTCGTAAAATCCCCCTCAGTCTTGCAACAGCCATCCCTGAGATCTCACACACAAGGCCATCTGCTACTGCTCGCAATCACGCTGTCTGAAAAAGAAGTAGAGTAACTTCATACATACAGTGATGACAGCAGTTTTGTGGTGCTGTTTTGTACTGTTCTGTACAGCTTTTACGCGTGACTATAAGTATATGATAAGGGGAGCATTACAAATATGCGACATTATGTTCTAGAAAGGTTTTCATATGTGTGTGTGTGTGTGTGTGTGTGTGTCTGT